ATGTGGGAAACATAACATGTAGTCTTGAAGAGACTAACTTATTAGAAATTGTGCATGATGAGGAATGGTAATTACTATGAGTTGAAGGCATATAAGTTATTTTCTGCAATAACATTGAAAAAAGGAAATGAGAAATGTATTTATTCGATATTGTTTTCATGTTACTTGAAATGAAGAAATGCTATGAGGTATGGAAGAACATTGCATTGCATTCGCATGGATTTACATACTATGCATTATGTGATTAAACTGGGAAGATTTATTACAAGAAAGAAATGATTATGTTGTAATGAGAACCATGGAAATGTGGTATGGGGTAAATACGTGGTAAGTCCGGATAGGGGGTGTAGTTGAACTTAATAAGTTGGCCTGAGTGTCCTTGGTGAAAGACCAAAAAATCGCGTAGATAGGTGTCGAGCCTTCCGGTTAATACTGGTAAAAATGACAATTTGGTAGTACTTGTAGAGTCTACTTGCAGACACCAGTCTAGGGATTACCAATGTCGTATTTACCGCCCCTATGGATTTAAAATTGGAAGTTTTGAATTGTGTTGAGATTGCAAGTTTTTATTGAAAAATGGAAATCTTCAAGTATAGCATGAAATGAAAATTTCCTCAAAAGAGCATGGCATGGCATGGCATTAGCATTTACATTTTGTTTGAGAGTTTGCATAACTGTATATACTTTCTTAGAATTCTCTACTGGGCTTTATGCTCACCCCTATGGGATTTGGTGCATGTAAAGATGTGGTGATCCCATCGACCTGAGGGTGTGGATATTTTGTGAAGAGTAAACAGCTCTTTTGTTTTGTTGTAAATTTTGTACAGCCTAGGGCTAAACGTGTATAGGTCCAAGTGACCATTTTGTGTAACCAGGTTATTGCCTCGGAAGATGTAAGCCCTTTAGGGCATTTTATTGTTTTGAGATTAGGTGCTTCACATGCTATAGATTCATGTGTATTTTGATGATTGAATGTATACCCGCATGTGAAACTTTTGTATAAACTCTCTTATTAACTATGTAGGTTTTGGAGGTTTATAGTCATGATTTTAGTGAATGTTAATTAATGTGAATAGTTCATGTTGAATTATTTCGGGGCGTTACAAATTCCTTCCAATCTTGTGGTAACTTTTGAATTAGGACAGCAACTTGGAAGGACTCGCTTAGTGACATGCATTCTGCATGGATGTCATGCGGAATAAGTTGGAGATTCTAAACCGAGCTAATTACAGTTTTTGAATCAACCATTACAAAATACAGAAACTTTCCCACCACAAATTTCTTCAAGCCAACATCTTCTGTTTTGTACAATGTATTATCAAGCCCATTCAAGATATAGTTGCGGCAAAGGAAATCCGTATGTTTCTAAGCATCGACCACATCAATTACTTGTTGGTCAATTGCATCCTCTTCCAGAACATGAGCATCCTCACAAAGGAAACACATTAGCTTTAAAGTAGTAAGATAAAACAGTATTTTTTGTTGCCATCTTTTCAAATCAGTTCCTAAGATCTTTTTTTGCTCTTCCCCCTGATTCACCGGCACTATTACAACAGTAAAAAGGATTCGAGTAGTCGCAACACCAGTCGGATTAGAGGTTTGAGTAGTTTCAATAGTCATGAATTCTAAATTATAAAACAAAATTAGAATTAGAATTTTTATACTACACAGAAAATTAAACCTTAAAACACAAAATATAATTTTATACAAAATAAAAGAAACTAAATTGTAATTTTTATTTCAAATTAATTTGAAAATAAACTTTTATTTAATCAAATTAATTCTACACAAAATATTATTTCTGTAAAATTTCAAAAATTAAAATACTAAAAATCAAAATTTTAATTAATGAAAACCCATAATTTTATTTCTGAAAATTCAAAATTAATTTCTGAAAACCTCACACAGAGATAATTTCTATAATAAAACCAAAAAGAATTTTGAAAAGGAAACAAATGAAAAATTGTATATAAACAGAATAATTTGAATCTGTCTTAAAATTGTTGGACAATCTTGTGTGTAAAAAAAAAATGAAACAAACAAAATAATGTGCTTACAAAAAGTTCTTGTTTCAGAAAATAAAAATAGTAAGACTATGATCAAGTTGAGTGTGTGACACTCTATTCATAAGATAGATTCATCGCTGCATAAGTGCTCACGTCAGGCGAACCAAACCTGCGCCCGGCTTTGCCAAACGGCGGCACGTGCATGATGGATTTGGGTCAAATCGACTTTGCTCATAATTCCCTCCTTGCAAAACTTGGAGTGCCCCTTGAGGCCTATCCCAAGTATGTCAACCTATAGTTTATATATTCAAGCCCGGCCCTGAAATTTTTTGGGCCCAAAACCAATAATCAACTAATCAATTTTTGGGGTCCTTCACATTTTTTTTTTCATTGAATGAAAAAAAAATGGAAAAAAAAAAATGAAGGTAAAAGACAAAAGATTTGTGTCAAAATCACAAAAAATATTTAGTATTACATTACAAAAACTAATAAGTGTCGCTTGATCCTTTTTTTTTTTGCATTTTTAAATAAATCAATCATACTTACATAATCTAGTTTTTTTTTTTTTGCAAAATCATTTTCAATGGATAATAATGATAATTATTTTAAATGGGTCTTTCAATTTTTTAATAGGTCAATTTATTTTAAATTAGTTTGGGTCTTCCTTAATTTTTTTCGAATTTAAAACATACCTAATATATTACAATGAACTATAATAGGAGGGGACCCTTTTTTAGGGTCTATTTTCAATGGTTAACAATGTTAATTTTTTGGAATAAGCTTTTTAATTTTTTAATGGATCAATTTATTTCAACTTAGTTTGGGCATTCTTTAATTATTTTTTTTTTTTGAACTTAAAGCATACCTAATATTTTACACTAAACCATAATAAGAGGAGGCTTTTTTTTTTTTTGTCTATTTTGAGGGGTCCTAAGCCATGGCCTGATGGGTCTATGCCCAGGGCCGGCATTGAGTGCAATCACATGATTAGAACTTGGAAAACTGACCCTAATGTAATCCATGGTTGTATTCTACATTTAAATTTTTTCGATACTGTAACCATTATCAACCACGATCAAAGGTCGTGGTTGAAGGTGATTGACAATAGTAGTCAGAGATTGGTATTGATTGGTATTGATTGGATGTAGTAGTCAGAGATTGGTATTGATTGGATGTAGTTGTTGGTGGTGAAGCCGGTGAGTAGTGTTTAGTGACTGAAGATGGTAAAAATAATGTTTTCATAGCAAGTAAAAATAAATTATTATTTTTACAAGATTTTAGTAAATATTATAATTTTTTTTAATAGTTTTAATAACAAGTTTGTGAAGCTTTATTAGTTCTTCCATTTTCCTTAATATATATATATATAAACCAGCAAAGTGGCAGTATCATATGTAAACAAGTCCAATATAAATATTTCTCAGTCAAATCCATAAAAATAAAAATACAAATGTTTCAACCCATGAATGTAATTAAATCTTCTGTTTGGTCTTTGTCCATTGCATTGTTGGAGATACTTCAAATTTATATATATATATATATATATACACTCGCACACTGTTGTGTGAATTCAAAATAACACTTACTTTTTTTTAATCTTTTCTTTATAATTTTAAGTCAACTATTCCCTTTCCTTTTCAGTTTAATCTTGATTTTGGAATTGATTAGCCCTTTGATTTGGGAAATTCATATATATATATGTATAGTTTCGTTTCCTTTTCCTCCTAGCTTTGACAGGCTATATATATATGAGCATAAACATTCTGCTGAATGCACAAAAATATTGTCTTCTTCTCTAATTTCTGTCAATGTTTATCTGTTTCTGAGCTTAGCTGTTGGAGTACTTGGGTATGAAGCGCAGCATGGCAGACGATGGCCGAGATGATACTGCTCGGCTGCCGAGCTCCCAGGAGAATGGGCAGGCAGTTGGGTTTGGTGGTGCTCAGCAAGGTTTATGCTGACAGATGGGATAGTAGTGCCACGTGTTGAGAGATCACTGGGAGTAGATTTGGGGCACAGAAGGTATATAAGCACGACTGCGCCCCCCATACTGATGGATGAACATTTGGTAAGAGTAATACTTACACTCAACACTCTCCCTTCTCTCTATCTATCCCTTGTGTGCGTCCTAACTTGATCGTCGGAGGGGTTTTTCCGGCCACACACCGCCGGGTAGCTCACCGTTATTTGCTCGCAGGTGATCGGATAGTAACGGAGCTCGGAAGAAAGGAGTACGGGCTTGCCTGAATATTTGCTCCCCGTATAGAGACAAAAACAAATTCATCATTAAAAATGATAAAATAATGTCAAAAAAAATTTGTCACACATTAAGGGTAATAGTGACAAAATGTGACAATATTTTTCGTCATGGCAAATTCATTTAGTGACGAAATAAAGAATACATGACAAAATTAATCATCCACCTAAGCCAAATAAGAGACGAAAAAACCTTCTTTAGGGATGGAAAATTTTGTCACTAATTCCATAATATTTTTTTCCACATTATATCTATTTTATCAAAATCTAAATTTTTGTTCAACAAATATAACCCTGTTCATGTTGAAACCTGTTGAATATAACAATTCCATCACAACTTAACCTAACTTGTTATCAACACATTTACGAATTAACAAAATGAAAATGTCCATTCATCATTACAAATAATTTCATCCTAATACAATAAAATAGTGAAATATCCACAAAATATCCAAAAGTTATATAATTTGTACAATTCCACCAAGCATCTAACAATAACTAGTGCAACTCTACAAAGTATGTGTATCCTTATCAAACAAAAATGAACATTCAAGCAAATTACATCATTGTTGCACGTCAAAAATGCCACCCCAAAGTGTACTGACAGAGATTCGTAGGAGTGTACAAACTCTGTTACTACTGCAATTCGCACCCACACATCCAATCCCTCTGCCTAGCGATTTTTAATAAAAAAGACGACAAAAAAAAGAAAACAAAAGAGACAAGAAAACAGAAAAAGAAAAGAAAGGTAACTAAGGAGATCTTAGCTACCAAACACTCCCCACACTACAAACTCTACAAACATTGAAAATCCTTCCTACTGCAGGTTCAAACGGATCAATGAAAACCTTCGTAGTGCAGATCCTCCTCCCTTAAAATGACATCTCTCCACTGCTTTGTAAAATAATAAGATAAAACAAACCACCAGCACATTCTCCACCAATTTGTTTAATAAATCACCAACCTTTCAAACCACCAACCTCTAACTCTTTTGAACTGAACAGTTTGAATTTCTCAACACTATCATCACTTGAAGACAACTGTTCTTTCAGCAATAATCCACCATTCTGTCTTAATCATTTTTCTTTGCGCTTCTTACTATTTCTTTTTTCCAGTACTTTTTATAGCCACCAAGAAGCAATTAGTAAAAACAATGCTCCAATTCCAGAGCACACACCTGCACAACTCAAAACAAAAGAATATACTTACAAGAATTAGATGTTTGATGGATGAATCAAGAATAAATTAATGAAGGAAACGGATAACTCATTACTACCATCGGGGGTTGCATATTTTACTAATAAAGATACATGTTTGGGAAGAAACTAAAGTATAGAGGCTAAAGTAAGATATTAGTAATAATATAGAAGCACTAAAGACTAAAATAAAGGGTTTAAATGAATTTTGATAGAAGTGTACGGGTGCTAAGTGTAATTAATAGTATTATGTGGTTGTTATTTTTAGTTTGAGAAATGGCGTTATGCAAAATGGATCAAATTGCTACTTGACTCAAAGTTTAAGAGATTGACTAAGATAATTAAAAGGTCAAAGCGTAAAATGAAATTGGATGTACATGGTAGGTACAAATTACAATTTGTCCAAAAATAAATTATAAATTGGGTAGTAACTAACAACAATTTGGATTATAACAAAATATTATTTTGGTCATTAATCAAATTCACCACATTAGATTACAAGTATTGTTTTTAAAAATAGAACATCTATTTTTTTAGAAATAAAAATGCAATATATTAAATAAAATATAATTATCGGATCGATCTTTTTTCTTTTTTTTTTTCCCTTTTTTTGTAAATGATATTCATGAAGGACCTTACAAAAAGTTAGTTACAATGAGATTTATAATAAGTCCCATGAGTCCAAACAATACTCTCCAATCTCTCTAATCAAGATCATGAATAAAAGAGAAGCTCAATATTTTTATTTCAGAAAATGATATACAAGTCTATTTTTTAGATCTATTTTTTAAATTCAATGATACATAAGTGATATGATTAATTAATAATTAAAAAATATGAGCGAATATGTTACCTTTAATATTATAATTAATTATCACATTACTAAATTTAAAAAATAAATTTAATTTTTTATCTTAAATATGAATGGTCTATTTATTGTGATATCGGTTTCATACAAGAGGTGGTGGCCACTATGCTCTTACAAAATGGACGCCCCTAGTATGCCCTTTTATGGGGTGAGTAGCTGCGGGTAGAGGATCACACCTAGTCTCATAGGCTCTTAAAGAATCTCCTTTCGAATTGTCGATTCTTATGCAAAATCTCGAGGGACCCAGAATATAAGGTCCACAAATCTACATAGATGAGAAAGGTGTGGTAGCGATTTGATTGTGTATTGTAGGATATATTCATCGAATGAATTTGAATAATAAATTAATGATTCTAGGTAAAATTAATAATTTTGTATATATAGCATTATTGATTTTAACGTGACACTTTTGACAATAAAATTTGACATGTAATTATCCACCACCCAAACTTGTAAATGTGAGTTAGCAATTAGCATGGCTTGAGCAATGTCACATTTGACATCCTCTAACAATTAACTTTGGCCACTATGTTCTACCGTCTACAATCACTTTAAGTCATTGTCAACCAATTATCATTGATGACAACCACCTTCGACCATCATTGCCTTATCAAAATCCACCTTTATCCATTATCTTTACCATCAGCCACCATTAATCATCTCCCACTGCCTGCCAACAATCATTTCTTACTTCTATCTCTAACTATTGACAACCACCTTAAGTTACCATTTTCTACTAACCACTTCTTTCACTTGTTTTAAAAAACAATTAATTAAAACACGTGTACCATATTTTTTATTTTCATTTTCATCAAAAAAATTATAAATTTGTTTGATATTGACACAAAAAAAGAATAAATAAGTCAAAATTTTTTTTGAGTTTTTCCTTTTCTGTAATTTTTTTTTTATCTTTAGGGAATTTTTTTAAATATTCTAATCAAATTTTTATATTTTTAAATCACTTAATCTACATACATTTAAAAAGTAATTTATTTGTGATTTTTTAAAAAATTCACTAAACAAAAAATGTCACTACATTTTGTATCTTTTGTATTTATTGTTTTTTTATACATTTTTTTTTTAACAAATAATTTATTTTTTATTGGAAAAATTGTCGGTAAATTCAAGTTATGGGGTGCTTTAGGCATTAAGTCTAAGAACTAATCTTATTTGGTGAGAAGAACATCCATTGAAAAATCGCCAAAAAGTCAATAGCGGCCGGTAGTATTTGACATATGATAGCGGTGAGGTGGACAAATAAGTGACATTGAATAGATAAGAGGCATACGTAAACATTTGAACAAATAGTTGGACATTTGAACATATAGTTTGATAGATAGATGACATGTGTACACATTTGAATATGTAGTCGCACAAATAGATAAGACATGTACAAATAGGTGACATTTGAATATATAAACCAATAGGTAAACTTTTGTACAGATAGTTATCCTTTTGGAGAGATGATGTTTTTCTTAGCCCAAATAAACTTAAGTTTGGGCCTATTGACCCAGTTTAGAAATGAACTTATGATCTGAGCGCCCATTAAATACACATAAATTACTAGGGTGCCGTTTGGTAACACTTACGTTCTCAGTTTTCTGTTTATATTTACAAAAATTTAAAAAACTCAAATAAAAACTTGTTTGATAAAATTTTTGATTTATAAATCAGTGGTCTCAATTTATAAAATATTAAAAATACAAACTCCAAACCAACCCAAAATAATGTCAACTTTTTAAAAAACTAAAAAATATTAAAAATACAAACTCCAAACAAACCCTAAATAATGAGACCCACTTACCTAGATAAAGATAAACTACCAGTAAGTTTTAATAATTCGACTTAATTTTCATCAAGTCCTATTGAAAATAAATCTTAGTAAAATCATTTTTTTTGTCATATTTTTTGCATATGTTGCTAAAAATTAACAATTAGTGACTTTTTTTTGTCATGATTTTTATAAATTACTGCTAAAACTTATAATTAGTAATGTTTTTCTGTGATAAAATTTTCAAACTGTCACTGAAAGTTAAAAATTAATAATTTTTTTTTATAATTAGTAATATTTTTCTGTGATAAAATTTTCGAACTGTCACTGAAAGTTAAAAATTAATGACTTTTTTGTGACATTTTTTTTTTGAACTATAGCTAAATCTTATAATTAGGGACATTTTTTTAACAAAATTTTCAAGCTGTTACTGAAAATTAACAATTAGTGACGTTTGTTAATAGTGTTTGATAAAAAACGTTATTAATTCTCACAGAATCTATTGGACAATAAATTCGCCTATTAGAACCTACACGTAACTCCCTCAAAAGAAAAACCATGGTTAGGTTGATGAGTTTCTTTTGAGGTTAAGGATTTCTTGAAGTTGTTCCCATGGAAATTGCATTTTCTAAAAACAGTCAAGCTAGGGTTAAAAAAAATATTATGGAAAGTTTTACCAAAAACTCACATAGATGAATTGCTAGTAAAATATTTATGGTCAGTAACATTTTCCTTTCTATAAAACATCTAAAAGTAATTTTCTCTCCTAACGTTGATGGAGTGTCATTTAGTAATTGAGCAACCATTTTCTATAAACAGTCAAGCTAGGGTTTAAAAAATATATATTATCGAAAGTTTTACCAAAAACTCACTACTAAAATATCTGTAACATTTTCCTTTCTATAAAACATTTTAAAATAATTTGAATAAATTACAAATACATTCTTGGAGATTTGCTTAAAATACGAATTGTTCCTCTGATTTGAAAAATTACAAATACCTCCCTGTTAGAATATTTTATTTAACAGAATTAATTGAAAAAGTAAATTTTTAACTGTTCACCTATACAATAATAAAATTATTTGAATTATTAATTAAAATAAAATTTTAACATTATTAAAAATTGTTAATTAACTTGATGATTTATTAATAAAAATGCCTATTTGTTATGAAATTAGAAACTTTAGGGGACATAATATAATTTCTAGAACTACAGGGATAATTTATAATTTAAATAAATCTCAAATAATGTATTTATAATTTACCCAAAATAATTCTCTCCCCTAAAGTTGATGGCATGTCATTCAGTAATTGAGCAACCGTAAGTGAACGCGAAGAGTAATGTTAAGAATCATGAAAAAAATATCATGAAATCTTTTATGAAGATTTCTCCCCCTTTGATTAGTATGTGGTGTTTTTTTTGTATGTGTAATCTAACGGTGGAGAATTTTTTATGATCATTTTTATGATATTTTTTTCATAATACCTACCATTATTTAAACGTGAATAATCTTTTCTCTTATCACCTCTGTATATACTTACCAGTCACAGTCTCAATCAACGGATCAGTAGTGCAGGTATAATTCCCTGGTGTGTTAACACATTTAGTGTTACCACCACAATTGTTGAGGTTTGGCTGTTCACACTCATTTATGTCTGCATTCAAAAAACAATTAATTAAAACCAAACAGAAAGGAAGACCCTTCTTATCAGGAAAGTATCATAACATATATATATATATGAACGTTGTTATTCAAGATCAACAATTAAACTTATTTTTCAAATCTAATGATGTAACAATTAATTAAAATATTTAAAATAATAGTCTTTATCATATCTTCTTCAATTATTAATCAATCATATTCCTTATATATCATTGGGTTTAGAAAAGGAAGATAATTTTTTTCAATCCAAAACATAGACTGGAGGGGGCTAGTTGAGCATATGGAACCCATCCAAGTCCTGTTTGATAATCTGAACCGTTCATTTTATTAGACAATTCGTGTATTTCATCAATAAAAAAATTAAGTCGATCGGATAACTGTAACTTGTTTAATTTATCATTTTTCACTAAAAAATTAACGATAATTGTGTTTTTAAAAAAGAAATCATACATTTTTGTGATAACAAAAATAATAAATTGAACAAGTTATATTTATCGGATTAACCTAATTTATTTATTTATTTTGGATAAAATACACGAAATACTCAACAAAAATGAAATATTGAGATGATCAAAACGAGACTTATGATAAACCCCACATGGCAAACAGACCCCTAGTCCAAATTTTAGACCGGAGGGAATCCTTCTCTTTTAGAAAATGGGTCTAAAAAATGAGTTTGTATATCATTTTCTCTCTCACACACACATATATGTATATATATAAAATCAATATATATAGGTAATGGATAGTATATGAACCTTGGCAGCCATCATCTAGGTAGGGGTTCCCTTTGTAACCGGACAAACACTTGCAGATATACCCACCAGCATTTGTTGCGTTATGACAATCGCTATTTTGTCCACATGCATAACTTGTCTGATTTCTTTTAGCTTGTTCGCATGTCTGAATATCCCCTATTCCCCAATCCAGCACCATCGGAATTTTTTTTTCTCCAAAATCAAGATAAGTTGTGGAGAAATTAAACGCACGTTCTTCAATAACAAAGGCATAGCTGCAGGAATTCAAGTTCAATACATTTTCATGATTCGAGAAGCTAGACACATTAATGTCGATGTGGCTGCCTCCTTTTGGGATGGAGGTTTGGCAACAACCGATTCCAGAGCAAGTTCCATTAGAAACGTAGTCCATGTTTACACATTGTGAGATACACGCGGATGAAAGAACCAAAGCTTCGTTTTTATAAATTCGGAGATTCGCATATGTGTCACAACCAATAGCAGTGAACTTGTTCTTGGTTCTAGATATGGAGAACTTGCCCAGGATGAGCGATGCATTGAAGTTGCTTTGTGATGGTGATATGATGAGCTGCTGCATGATGCGTAACTCACCCTCCTCGAGCATTATATTTGAAACAGTGATACTTCTATTCTGAAAATATGGATTGGATTGATTACAAGAAATGAGGAAGTCTTCATTCAGGTAACACTTGTTTTTCACACCGAATGGGTATGGGATGCTTACATTCCCACAACTGTTCCAGCAGCCGAGGTTTTTTAGATCTCCTATTGTTGGTGGTGCTGCAGTTGCTGATGAAGATGACGATGATGATGACAATACCACCACCACCAGCACCACCACTACTAGTTGTAGTTGTAGTAGTAGCATGATGATGATGTTGATGAGTTGCAATTGCATTCTTTGTGAGGAGGAGGCCATGGTTTGCTTCTTTTCAACTTCTAGAGATCTCATCTTATAAATAATTGCGCAAATTATATGGGTGGTCCTACATTTTGCCCTTGTGTTTTATTGGTCCATTCACTAAAATTTGCTCAATTTTAAATTTTATGATAATTTGATCCAATTAATAATATCATTAACATTTAATAGAAAATGATTACTAAATTGATTGAAATTAACTCAATAAGTTTAGTAAATTTATAATTTTACTCTAAAAAATATAATATATGCCAATGCATATTTTTCATTAAAAAAATGTAAAGAATTTTAATCAATTAAATCAAATTAAAATAAAATCATAAATTCAAGATCAAAATCAAGTCAACTAAAATTATAAGCATTAAAATGATATAAAGAATTTTAATCAATTAAATCAAATTGAAATAAAATCATAAATTCAAGATCAAAATCAAGTCAACTAAAATTATAAGCATTAAAATGATATAAAGACTAAAGTAGAGGAACTAATGTCACAATTTATCCTAAATAATATGCTTGTTAATTACAAGAAAAAATTTATTCTTTCATAATTTCTATACAATATTATACATATGAGTATTGCTTCTTTTTCTTTTTTTTAACCAATATGAGTATTGATATTCAAATCCAAAAATTAAATTCACTTTTTAAGTCTAATTGATTTGGTAATCAATTAAGATATCTAAGTCAACACTTTCTCTTATATTCTTCATAATCAACAACTAATCGTATTATTTACACATCATTAGCTCTAGAAATTAGTATAAAAAGTGAGTTTTTTAAACTAAAAAGTCAATTTGTATATCATTTTCTCTTACATGTATCAAAAATGTTTGAGACCTCTAAATGAGGGGCTCTTGAGAGAGCTCTAGATGTGAGTCTCACCTTATGATTTGATATTATGACTTATGATGTAACTCTTTTTATTTTTATTTTTTTATGTATTGCCACATCACTAGAGTTAACATTAGAGCTCCAAGTCTAGTGCTCTCTGTCATCACTCTTACATGTATATATATTTCGTCATCAGAATGATGTAATAGGCTTTTACTTTGATGTCAAAGCGCCACAGCTTAATCAGGTGTAAATTTTCAATGGAAAATGATTTGGATAATCCTACATAAGCATACTTTTAACGGCAAATTATACTTTGCACTCTATATTTTGTATTAAATCTCATTTTAATCTCTACATATAAAATCATTACAGTCAACCCTCTACAATTCTGATCAAATCCTACTTTAACCCTTGCACATGAAATTATGACAATCAACCCCTCTTATTTTTGGTAAAATCTCATTTTGATCCCTACATAAGAATGTGACTACGACATGAGAGTAAGAAAGGAAACTCATTTATATTTTTTACTAATACACACTTTATTCTAAAATTTACATCAAAATATGATTGTATGAGGCTAAAATAAAATGCATATTATGAACAATTAAGAAGATAAATTGGGATTTTGCATAAATTGAAATCATGAAAGTCTATTTTTCATGGTAACACAATCTTTTGTCTATTCATCTTTCTTTCTTTTTTATCTTTCTGTCGTATTTTTTTTATTTCAAAAGCTCTACTTTTCTTACCTTTTCGTCCCAATTTTTATCATACGAACATATATATATATATATATATATATATATTGTATTATATAACTTTCATGTGTTTATCATGTAAGACAAAGTGTATTAGTGGGAAACATGAATGATTTTCCTCTCTTATCCTTATTTCGTAGCCACATTTTGTTATATGACTAGATTTTGTTAAAGATTTAAAAATGAAATAACAAAAGAGAGACATTGACACTTGTGTAGTAATCAAAGTGAGATTTGAGTAAAATGCAAGGTGTTGACTATTACGATTAGAGACCAAAGTGAAATTTAATTAAAAATGTAGAAGGTTGATTGTCATTATTTCATTTATATAAACCAAAATAAAATTTAGTACAAAGTGTAAAAATACAAATGTAATCTATCCTAATTTTAATTAAAAACGATATAGCTTTACGTGCTCTTTTTCATTTTAAAACAACCATCACTCACATCATTTTTATTTGGCTTATTTGACTTTTTTTATTTATTATCATTATCATTTTGGCTAAAACTCTCTCATTGGTTTTTTTTTTTTTTTTTTAAATTTGTAAGCGTCTCTTTCATTCATAAAGGACAAATAAATTTGGTTCTATTTACCCTTAATAACTAATTTTCTTTTTCAAACTTTAAAATGATATCACTTTTTATCTATATTTTTATTTTTAATAAAATTAATATTTTTAAAATTCTCTCATTAAGATTTATTGAATAAGATTCATGTTGACCATGAAATTTTTTAAAAACAAACGGTAAATTTTTTTCTATCGAAACTAACATCAACAGTAAAATTTTATTCTGATTCACAGTAAAAAATTTATTCTATTTTGAGTTTTGTTTTGTGGCAATCTATTTATACATAACAATAGAAGTTTACTTTGGCCAAAACTCCCTTATTTATCAACAATTATAGTGACTATGGTATTTGATGATGATGATGGTATTTTTATTATTTCAAAATTAAAATGCTACAGTAAATTTATTGTGAATTAGAGTGAGATAGAGTAAAGTTATACTGTTGGCATTAATTTCAACCATGAAAATTTTATTTTATTTAAAAAAAAAATCATAACCAAAATGGATTTTATTTTATAGATATTGATGAGCGATTTTAAAAATATTAATTTTATTAAAAAGCGACATGTAAATCAAAAGTTATATTATTTTAAAATTTAAAATATTAAATTCCTCACTAAAGATATTTTAGTAATGGTGATGTGTAACTTTTAAATGAAATTTTTTTGTAATTGTCTTTAATCCATAAGAATTTTATTATGAGGAAGTTTTGTTAATATTTTCTTTTTATATATAGAAATTTTTTGTTTTGGGGGTAATTTATTTATAGAAACGGCAGTGCTAGGAGTCTCAAATTGTCGAGGCTCGAATGCCTCTATAATTCCTCTATTTCTTATTTTTATTTTTATTTTTATTTGTTGAGCTGTGTTTTTTTTTTTTTTTTTTGAAAAATATTAAAACGTGGAAAAGTTACCACCGGCTTGGAAAGATTTCAAAAATTATTTAAAACATAAACGCAAAAAGAGGTGTGCTAAAAAATTAGACATACCGAACCAGCTCAGTCTACGTGGTTTGATAGGGTGATAAAATTGACTGATCAGTTAAGCTGCTAGTTAAAATTTCTTAATTTCATATAGTTTTGTACAGGTCTATACTATATTTTTATTTCAAATCAGGAATAGTATAGACTCGTACAAAATTATATAAAATTAATAAATTTTAACCAGCAGCCTAATTGATCAGTTAATTTTTGTTGGAAATGGTAGAAAAATTCTGGGTAAAACCAGAATTTTTTCTCAAGTTTGGTCTATTTTTTAGGTGGGGCCCGAGCGTCGATTTACTCGGGTCAAAGAGGTAACGCGTTCTATGCCGCGTTGTGATTCACGTGATATATTTGGTTGCTCAAAACCATTACCGAGTGAATAGGAAATTGAAGCCAAAGTGTGCTCCATGGAAATGGAGTTTTGGTGGAAATTCCTTAAGGTTATAAAATGGCTTGTCCCACATTGATTTGGTGGGAAGTTTTGAAATGGTTTATAAGGCATGGGTTTGGTACTTGGGGTGTGCCCCAAGGGGTACCCAAATGTTTTAGAGGGAGAGGTTATGGGCAAAATGGGCTAGACCCATTGGACCTAAAAATCACCACACACGCGCGCGCCACCGTCTGTCTGATCGGTTGAGCGGGCTGGGAATAGACTAAGCCCCCCATTTGGAAAAATACTCCAATTTTCGTACTCCATCTTCTACTATAAATTTATTCTTCATTTTGCATTAAGTTCTTGTTACAGAGAGTATAAACGCTTAGTGTGTTCAACGAACGAATAAATTGTAGTGCTGCTTTTATTTGTTGATAGATCATTTTATCCTGGGAGATAGGCGTCCAGATTCTAAAAGTACCGTGGAGAGGACGAATCTGTCTTAAGGACACAGTGTTAAACACTGGACTTGATCAGATAGTTATTCAAAAGAAATTAACCAAGTAAGTTGTTTAATTTTTATTCTGTTTTTTTTTATTTAATCAGATTTTAATTTTGTTTTTAATAAATTAACCAAGTAAGTTGTTTAATTTTATTTTGTTTTTATTTGTTTATTTAATCAGATTTTATTTTTTGTTTTTGTAACAAAATAAAATCTGTTTTTATTTATTTATTTTTATTTCGAGTTTGATTTTTGTAATCAAACAAATTCTCTCATTTCCTTTATTTCTTTTTATTCTGATTGTTGTTTAGTACACAACAGAATTTAATTAATTTAAATACAGTGAAGATTGTCCTACAATCTTAAGACAGATTCTTTTTGGAATCTTCACTGTTTTTAATTTTCTGTGATTTCGTAAGACATATTCTGGTTGGAAAAACAAATTGTGTTTATGCTATTTGACAGATAGTAGTAATATACTGTCTCTTTTCTTTGACAACTAGTAGTAATATACTGGTGTCATTAACAATTGCAGAATATTATTTGGTATTACAGAAAATTATTGTGATATTTTATTTTTCTAGTTTTAAATTATTTTGTTGTTATAATTTATTTTCTGGTTTTAGTAACTAGAAAATTAATTATGTGTTTTAATTTTTTCTGATTTTTGTAATCAGAGATTATGGCTACTACAACTGAAACTGCATCTGGCAGTGGTACTCCTATTGTTACACCTACATCGGTCCCTATCCAGAACCATGTTCATGTACCAATCAATCATGGAGAAAAACTGGAAAAATTTAACAGTACCGAGTTTAAGAGATGGCAGCAGAAGATGATGTTCTATCTTACGACTCTTAATTTGGCCCGGTTTCTCCATGAAGAGACTCAAGCACTTAAAGAGGGTGAAAATGATCGGCAAGTTGTTGCCGCTGTACATGCTTGGAAATATTCAGATTTCCTGTGCAGAAACTACATCCTCAATGGCCTTGACAACATGCTGTAT